ATATATGTATAATTATCAATGTAAGACTTATAGTTACATAAGATTTAGATTATTTTTGTAACCAATTGAATAAACAATTTACAGTAGCTGTCAAATATTACTACTAAATTCATTCAACTATAATTTATAAATCTTTGATTAAGATTATCTCATTAATATAATTATATTTAATTACTTATGTATTACTTGTAGGATATTTGAATCCTCAAATTTGTAAATAAATATGATAGAAAGCTTCAAATTATAACCTGTTCCATCGAAGATTACTGAAAAAGGATGATGTACCAACGGATGAACAGATGCTATCAATATCAGCATCATTACCATTATCACTTTGACTCCATAATCTATACTTCCTTCGTTGTGGAATGCTTGTACGACTATAATCATTGTAATTAATTGATATTGCATGATATTATTATCATAATTAATTCTTAACTATATTATATACCGTTTTTTTTAAGTTGCAAAAATAATATAATACTATAATATATAGCACTAAAAAATAATATAATATAATACTAAATAATAATAATAAAATAATATAATACTACGCAGAGAATGTTTACAAAAATAATATTGTGGAAAAATTCCAACAAAATTATCTAAAAAATACTTTGAAGTTTTATGAAACCGTTCTAATTGACCATCGAGCATTTCAGAATCAGACCAATTGCTTTCTGATTCAGCATTATCATATTCAGTATGACAAGCGCTTGATATATCTCTCCTTTGAAAAAAGAAAAACTCATAATATTGAAATTTCAACAATATAAAATTAGAAATGATCATTTGTGTTATTTCAAATTAATAGTATTTTATGTTGTTATAATACTTATAAAATTCATCAACAAAGTTTACCTCAAGCTTTTAGTTGAATTAGAAAGTGCAGTTGGAAATGGATGATCTTCAGATGTTGAATTAAAATCAGCTATTGCCGTTAGCTCAGCCAACATCCGATCAACACGGCTTGCTGCAGCAGCAAGCTTATCATTTCCATCAAATACTCGACTCGTATCCGATGTCATCGATCGATTCAACCAACTTGGTGTTCGTCCCATACAGAATCGCCGACGACGACTACGCTCTGGTGTTATTGATTGTTTGCACTGAATATGCAAAATCATTAATCAACATCATTTTATGTTTCATTTATTGAGAGTTTCAAATTTTAAATTTAATTTACTTTTCACTATAAAAATGTATGCAGCTTTTAATGCGAAAAACATGTGGAAGATGTTGTAATTATTCGTTATTCAACACTTTTATTTTAAATTTTAAAATTTATAAACCTGTGAATCAGATGAAATATATATTTGAGAATCATAATAATTTTGATTGCTATGTATTGGAAGTTGCACCGATGAAGTTGTTGGTTGTGTATTAAGTTGAGCATTCTTTTCATATAACAACATTTCTGGTGTAATCCATTCCAATTCTGAATCAGTTTCAACACCAATATCTATTGAATATACTTCAGATGAGAATGAGGAATTCATTGAAGCAAACATCTGAAACAAAAAATTAAGGAACAAAAGGATTTTATAAGATTCGGAATAATAAAACATCATTCTAATATCATATGATATATTTGCAGTTTTACATCTGTTTCCAATTAAGAAATAAATAAAAATTAATAAAAAACAAAAAGATAGTCTAGAAAAAAAAACCTCCAACGGATTCTGTGATGTAGAATTTTGTTCCGGTGGTATAGATAATGAATTGATGTCGGTTTCGTCAGCCTGATAACTAGTATCTGGATAATTATCCTCGAACACATATGCATTAAGAGTTTTTGAAATTTTGATTGGTCTTGAATCAAAATTAAAATTTCTTGGTCTTAAAGCTAAATAGATCTCCTCGGATACCATAATACCGTAACAATTAGCATGTTGCATTAAGGTACGAGCACCCAAACATGGCATTCCAATTAGTTCATACATAGGCTTTTGACAATTTACAACTGTTGATAGAACTGATCCGCAATCAATACCTTAAAAAACATTTCATTCATTGTTTAGCTTTTCTTCCGTTTAGCAAAACTTCAACAACCAAAAATAAAACTTCAATAAATTATATATATTTTAATTTAATTTAAAATAAACTTCAATAAATTAATTAAATTATAACTTATCATTTTCTTTTTGAGTTACATATATATATATATTTGAAATACTCAAATATACAAAAGAAATAAAATGTTTTCTATATTTTATTCTTTTGATCATCACATTAAATTCAATATATTTAGATATCATATATTAAATCAAAAAATATATTTTCAATTTGATTATCGTGTTAAATTCAAATATTTAATTTCTTTTGATTATCGTATTAAATTCAACATATTTAGATATCATGCATTAAATTAATATTAGATTTAATTGTTGTATTAAATTCATTACTTAATTTGATTGTCATACTAAATTCAATTATTTAATTTTTTTTTTTGATTATCGTATTAAATTCAACATACTTAAATATCATGCATTAAATCAATATTTAATTTGATTGTTGTATTAAATTCAATATCCAATTTAATCGTCGCATTAAATTCATTATATTTAAATATCATGCGTTAAATCAATACTAAATTTAATTGTTTGTATTTAAATTCAATATTTAATTTAATTGTCGTATTAAATTCAACATATTTGAATATCATACGTTAAATCAAAAAATAAATTATAACTTTTCAATTAGCGAAATCATTTAAATCACAAAAAATTTCAAATTACAATATCATTTTAAGAATATTACAAAATTTCTAAATTTCAAGCATATTTTAATATGATGAAAAAATAACTTCAACTTTATACATATTTTAACATTTATCCAAACAATTCGTTATATAGGGATAAATTATATTAATAATTTGTATTTGAAATTAAAATTGCTTACCGATATTTAATGAAATGCCATGATCAGCAGCAAATGCTGAAATATCTAGTGCGAATTGTGTAAGTTCAGCAAGTAAATCACCAATTGTTGATGGCGTATCGTGAACCTTTATTTATATTCAAAATAATTTAAATACAAGTTAGAAAAAATTTGGGAATAATTAAATACATGTTCGATTACAAATTTTTAATATTAATTAATAATTCGATACTTTTAAATTAGAATTAAACATAATATAGCATTATTTTTCTTATTCGTAAATTTAATTAATTTCAAATTTAGAGATCTAAAAAACAATTATAATTAATTATATTTTTCTTATCCGTAAATTCAATTAATTTCAAATTTAAAAACTTAAAAATAATTAGAATTAATTATAATATAGCATTATTTTTCTTATTCGTAAATTCAATTAATTTCAAATTTAGAGATCTAAAAAATAATTATAATTAATTATAATTTAGCATTGTTTTTCTTATCCGTGAGTTCAATTAATTTCAAATTTAGAGATCTAAAAAATAATTATAATTAATTATAATTTAGCATTGTTTTTCTTATCCGTAAATTCAATTAATTTTAAATTTAGAAATTCCAAAAAATGTGATCACAATACTAAAATTGCCAATTTGGAATATTTTAATTTCCAATAATTAGACTAAATTTTTTTTAAAACAAAACAAAACGTCTGTTTCATTTAAATCTGGAAATAATATAAGAACGAACATTTTTACAAAATTCCGGTATAACACCCACTGCAACAATATAATTTTTTTGACATCCACGAATTTTCTCAATTCCACGATGTTGCATAACAATCTGAAATGGATTACAGTATTTTCTTTTTTCAAAATTTCATAAATAACATTAAATAATTAAAATAATTTCGGGAAATTAAATATGTAATGAAATTTTGGAGTGAAAATAAAATATAATAACCTGATCAAAAATGCATATTAAATTTTTCAGATTTCTTACAGCAGCTTCACCATCGCTATCATCGCTTAAAATCTGCAAAATGAAAAGAGAAGAAAATCAATGGAATGATTTTAAACTTAAAAAATTATGATATTTTTTTTTAACCTGCTGCTTTAATTTGATAAATTTAGGCTATCATTTTAAATATGATAAATTATTTCAACGAACATTTTTGTAGCATTTTCAATTATCTTAATTTAATTAATAATTTTTTCAAATTCTTTTATATTTCAATTATTTTCAAATTAATTAATATCTTTCAAGTTTATTTTCAACATAATTAATTTCGGCAAAAATTTTAAACTTTTTTTTTGCTAAGAATGGATCGTTTTTTGTGCAATAAATTTTTTCCTTTAATTTGATAAATTTAGGTTACCAGATATCATATCTTTTTTTAATAAATTAATTTTTCTTTTGTCTTTTTTTCCTCTTTGATAAAATATTTGATTCAATTATATGAGAGCTAAAATAAATGAAATTAAAATTAAAAAATTTACATACAGCTATATGAGCTACTCCAACACTATGACAAATATGATGATAAAGATCAGATTTAGTTGAGAAATTTTGCGCAATATGTGATGGTAGAGCATTTTGAAGCATTTGTTGATTAGCTAATTCAATTCGTTCCGCATTCGATCTCTCTTCTAATTCCTGAAATATTTGATATGACTAATATTTCATCAATCAATATTTACCGTATTAATTAGTTCCTAATTAATACCGAAATGCTGAATGATTATTCAATATGCTCATATTTCAGCATTACCTATTTCAGATATGCTCATTAGCTTTTAAGAATACCGAAAGGAAATGGATAAAGATAAAAGAAAAATTTTATTCATAAAATTAATTGAATTCATTTTTTGCTTTTTCTTTTCTTCATTATGATTTTTCGCTTTTCTTTTTACCAGCCTAAAAAATCGAAATTCGTAAAACATAAATTTTTAGCAAAATTTATCCAGTCAATCAATCAATCAATCAATCAATAATGTCATCTATTAACATTGTAGTCTTTCTGATGCAGTAAAAATTCTGCAATTTTCTCTTTTTTTGGCATATTCATTTTTTGAAATTCAAATTTAAGTTCATTTCATAGAATGTCTCGCCAAGAAAAATGATTATCTTCTATAATAATTTATAAAATTTGCCCTTACCTTAAGTTTTGACATAAATTCAAGCCTTAAAATTCGTTCATTCCTTCGGAAATGAAAAATTATAAGCAATAATAACATAAAAAGACCACTCAATAATTCCCATTCGATATTGTAGGCCCTATAAACAATTGATTATATAAGCCTAATTTATAATTATATAGGCCTATAGTTTACGATTAGTTGTATGTACATAATTTACCCTACAAACAATTGATTGGTTGTATAAGCCTAATTTATAATTATATAGGCCTATAGTTTACGATTAGTTGTATGTACATAATTTATCCTACAAACAATTGATTGATTGCATAAGCCTAATTTATAATTATATAGGCCTATAATCTACAATTAATTGCATGTGCATAATTCACCCTATAAACAATTGATTGATTGCATAAGCCTAGTTTATAATTATACAGGCCCTATAATTTACAATTAATTATATATACATAATTTACCCTATAAACAATTGATTGATTACATAAGCCTAATTTATAATTATATAGGCTCATAATTTACAATTAATTGCATATACATAATTTACAATACATTTTATCAAAATAAGTTTAATTTATCAATTGAATTTTCAAACATTTTTAGCATACTAAAAGATACACCTGTTCTGTATAATTAAATTATTAAAATTTACATTTATACATATTACTATTTCATATAGCATTAATTATATATCATTAAATATATTTCATATATCATTAAATTGATGAAATAAACAATTTGATGAAACTTTTAATGTCTCTTTAAATTTATTGAAATTTATTAAAATTCTTCAAAAATAATTTTTGCTCTTAAAAAAGATTTTCTTATCTCTCCCTCTTTTTGTCGTCAAATTTTAACCAACAAATTTTAATGTATTTCTTCTCCCTAAGCAAGAAACTAATGAGAAAAATGAGTTAAATTTAATGAGACACTTAAATTTTCCATTTTCTTTTACTATCTTCTTGTTGAAATGAAATTCGACAATTTTTTTATGATGATAATAATGACGATAATGATGATAATGAGGAGCAGAATTGTGATAACTTCTAATTAACTATTACTGCTAATACTGTTATTTGTATCATTTCATAAATTTCAATTTTTACTTTATTAAATCTTTAACGAATTTATGAACAAGCATTATTTTGTATAATAATTATATACATTCATTTATGATAATAATGTTGATAATGAAAAGAAGATTTGTAATAATTTCTATTTAAGTAATACTGCTGCTATTGTTATTTGTATCATTTCATGAATTTTAATTTTTACTTTATTAAATCTTTAACGAATTTATAAATAAGCATTATTTCGTATAGTAATTATATACATTCATTTAAATCTAAATTTAATTTCCACAAATAAAAGATTCATTTAAAATTATATGACAACAATTGAACAAGCAATATTTTATATCATAGCTATTCATTCATTTAAATGTAAATAAGTTTCAAATTTTAATTTAAATTTATTTCATCTTTTTCTAATCTAAATTTAATTTCCGCAGGTACAGTAAAAAGATTCATTGAAAGATTTAACATTTATAGCCAAGTTTTTAATCTAAATTTAATTTCCGCAGGTGAGTGTAAATGTTTCATTGAAATATTTAACAAATTTCCGCCAAGTTTTTATTCCAAATTTAGTTTCCGATAAGTGATTCATTGAGATATTTAACAGAAATAAAGATTAGAAGTATTTTTAGCGAAAGAAAATTAAATTTGATTTATATAAAATAACGTTTACAAACCTCAATCATGATAAAACAATTTTGGGTAGTTTTAGTTTTTCAACGTTGAAAAAAAAGGAAAACTCATTTATTTAATTTCCTTTCCTTCTACCCCGCTGCTTCGGAATAACCCCGAAAAACATTTGTTCCCCAAAAAATATCCAATCAAAAAGAAAATGCATAAATTATTGGAGGATGGAGGTGGCAGCATTGATCTCTGATCGGATATTTCATTCATTTCAAAAGGTTGTAAAAAGAAATAATTCACATTCAATTCTTTTTAAACAATTACATCTTTAATTTTAAAAATTACTTTAAGATTTTGAGTTGCTATATTGCACGTAAAAATTTAACAGTTTAAATTAATTGACATAAAGTTTCTTTTTTTTTTTTAATAAAATTATTTTAAAATAGAATACCTGTTAAAAATTTATCAGTTAAAGAAGAAGCGATAAGAATCTTATATTTAATATGTTTTTTTAATTTAAAATAGCTACTTTAATTTTATTCATAATTTATCACCTGAAACAATAGGGATCCTTTATTCTATTATCAACATTATCAATATATTATTTTATGTTATAAATTATCAATATATTATTTTAAAATAGAAAATAAGCTTATCAATTATGCCTAATTTAATGAACTGTTAAAAAATTTAATTACGAAGGTTTTTTAAGTTTCATTCAAACAAAATTTAAATTTTAAAACTTTTAAAACTTTTTGATTCCTTTTTATAGGATATTTTATGTTTTCTTTTTTGTTGAATTATTCGTTCATCAATGCTTGAAAATTGTCGCAATTACATCAACTGTCGCAAAATTAAAGGACAATAATTCGTAAAACTTTTCTCTACCTCTTTCTCATTAATTCACCTGCTTTTTTTCTTTTCCAAATAATATTTCCTTTGTTTAGGAAAAGAAATTTAAAAGAAGAAAATCCTAAAATATAAAATTTCTTTTCTTTTAAATTTTTTTCTTAAAAAAAATGTTTTGGAACTTCTTCAAAATTTAATAATTCATCGATCAATTTCTCTTTTCTTTAAATAAAAATTTTTCTGAAATTTTTCATAAAACGATAAATAAGTAAATAAATAAATAAATAAACAAATAACTAAATAAACAAATGAATAAATAAAGAAAACATTGTTCATAAATATCATAAGCTCTAAATGCTTTGCAAAAATTAGCGAAAATATTTGTGAGAGAAAAAGAAACAAAAAAATGCTCACGTAACAAATTGCGCGTAATTGACGTAAAGCATCGGATGAGTGATAAATGTATGACAAGAATATATAGCAAATGCAATTATCAAAGCGCCAAATAGTACCAATGATGAGAAACGTATGAAGACAGATGTCGCAAGCATCCAAAAAGCACAATTAAGCTGCGAAAAATGTACAATACCGCATTCATCTATTGGTGTTAAATTTGAATGTTGTGGACAGGAGAACTGAAATTAATTTTTATTTTTTTAAACAATGAATTTAAAATGGATTTAATAAGAATTAAAAAAGATGCAATTAAATTGAAAGTTAGAGTTCAAATTTAATTAAATTTAAAAAATTTCAATCTAACTTAAACTCACAACTTATATGTACATATTAAAGAAGTTAGAGTTTGAGTAGAAGTTAGAAATTTAATTAAATTTCAAAAATTTCAACCTATATTTAAACTTACAACTTATACAACTGGATGTTCGAGTACGAATGTAACTAAATTTAAAAAATTTCAATCTATACTCAAACTTACAACTTATATATATATATATTAAAGAAGTTAGAGTTTGAGTAGAAGTTAGAAATTCAGCTAAATTTCAAAAATTTCAATCTACACTTAAACTTACAACTTATATATATATATATATATACAAATATTAAAGAAGATAGAGTTCAAGTAGAAGTTAGAAATTCAGCTAAATTTAAAAAATTTCAATCAATACTTGAACTTACAACTTATAAATTATAAAAATGCATGAAAAGAAAATTCAGCAAAAATTACGATCCTTCCTAATAATTATTTATTTCATATAACAAATATTTATTTAATATTTTGGTAAATAAAATAGTTTGAAATAAATTTGCATTAAATTAAAAACTAATTTCAGGTACACCTATATTCAATCGCTTCTATAACCTTTTATTTATATTTTCCTTTTCTACAAAAGAAAATGGAAAGGTAAGAAAAATGAAAAATGAAAAACAAAAACCATACTGTATTAACAATGCCACATATAAATAATAGTGATATAATCAATAAAATAATGATTGTATGACCGATAGCTGTACGTGTGATAAATTGGCAAAAATTCTGAAAATTTTTTAATCATCAGCGAAAAATTAAAATTAAAAAATTAAATTAAAAAACAATCAAAAATTTATCAGATAATTTGTTTAGAAAATTATCAAATAGTTTATTAAATGTTAAACATTTGTAAAGAAAAAAATGAAAGAATAAAATAGTTCGAATCATTTCTATCATAATTATGATTTATTATTACGATTAAATAAAATAATCCATCGATCGATAAAAGTCATGAATGAAATTGACTTTAAATTTATTTAATAATTTAGCAAAATGATTATTAAATTGTAAATGATATGATTAAATGATAAAGCTAAATGATTTAATTGTGGTAAATTAAATTAAATGATTATGTGATTATTATTTTTAATGACTAATTTGCTGCATCAATAATAGATATTGTAACAAAATATTTAATTATTACAAAAAAAATATACCTGGAAGAAATTTGCATAAAGTGTCAGTAATATCATAAAAATGATAGCCAATGATATTATAATCATGATAAGCGTTGAAATTTGCCTGGAATAATTAATTATCATAACAAATATAATTATTACAATAATTATATCATATGTTCATATATTATAGCAAACTAACCTTGGTAAAACCAAAACATGATAAATGCCATAAATAACGAGGAAAAATATACTGATAGCTAATGCTGGCACAAACCATTGATCAAATTGTACCTGATACTGAAATAAGTATAAATATTTTAATATGTAGCATAGTTTTCCTCGCTGTATTAATTTCGTTAAAACAAAAGTGAAGTAAAGAAATTAAATAAATATTGTTAAATAGATAACATCAATAAATAAGTAAATAATATCAGTGTTAAGTTTTCATTGAAAAATGAAACGAAGGGAATAAATAAATACTGTTAAATAAATAATACATCAATAAATTCAAGGTAAGTTAAGAGTATCTTTTTTAATAAACAATATAAATAAATATCATCAATTTTAGTTTCGTTAAAACAAATGTAAGGTAATGAATAATATTAATAAATTCAAAGCAAATATTTGAACTTAAATTAGAAATGACTTTTTTCACTGTATTAAAAAGTAATCATTATTTCTTCATCTTTTATTTCTATTCTTCCTTAATATTGTTTAAACAACAAAATCATCGTGATATGATAATTAAGTTAGCATTCATAAATGTTTTAATTAGCTAAAATACTAGAGAACTAAGGGACAAAAAAAGAAATTAACTAAACATATAATTAACTAATCATATTAGATTAACTAATCATATTTCATTACTTATCATATATAGATAAGCTCATTTAAAATCTCATTTAAAATCGACGCACTTTTATCATTACAACCTTATCTTGAGAGTGCAGTGAGAACCGGTGATAATGCAGAAATATTGAACTCTGATTCAGGTATTTTTTTTAACATGTGATCTCTATCTTGGAGATTTAAACATCCTCACTTTTATTGTGAAATGATCAATTAATTTTAAAATATCATTTTAATTCTAAATATACCTATAAATATCTAAAATTGATTTTATAAGAAAATTAACCGCTTTTTCCATTTGTTGACTTCGAAAGTTTAGGAACCAATTGTGTATCACACTTCTGCCAGTATTATCTTTATCAGTATTCTTTTTCCCATTCATTAATGCTAATTTATCCATACGTCTACAATATACCTTCTTACTTAATGAAATGTTTCAAATTTAATTTTAAAATTACAAAATTTCAATTTTATTTTCCTATATTCGGTATTTTCATCTTTCTGCAAATAGCCTTTTAGCGATCGATCAAAAATTATTTCATTGCAAAATTAAATTATTAAATTTTTTTTGTTGTTGTAATTAATTTCAAAATAATTTAACATACTATTTATTTCAGTACCTAACAATAAGCATTTTCAAATTGAAAGCAATTAAATAATTTTGAAAAAAAAATAGATCAAAATCAATTAAACCAACTTTTTCCGACGTCCACCCATTGTAGCACTATTTTTTATCAAAGTATCATTAGCTGATGATATTGTTTGTAATAATCTGTTAATTGCTTGTGGTACAGTGATTAATGAAAATCGTTTCAAATTCGGAAATAGCATTGATGACGGTAAACTGCTAGCACCATAATAATAATGTTGATCAGTTGTTATACGCCATAGTTGTCCACATTTTTCAAATTGAAAATTACATTCAGCTTGACGTTTTGCTGCTTCGGCTATATATATTCCACTGGAAGATGATTTTCTTTTAACAATTTAAATTTCCTAGTTAAAAAGATCTATTTCTTCTTAACAGGTTTTGATTAGATGTTATCATTGATTTAAAACTATATTAGATGATCGAATATATTAGATAGATAGATAAATGGATAGATATTGCAAATGTATTCAATCAAAATTTGATAAATAAAGATTCTTGATTCTAGATGAAGAAAAGAATACCTTTCTGGAGCGATACGTTCAATATTAATAGCTTCTTCGATTGGATAACCAATCGCATCATAATGCCATTTCGTTAAACCAAATATTCCACACGATACGGAACCACATTCAATTCCGCAACGTAATTGCAAATCGACAATTGTTGCATCGCAAAAACTTCTGGAAAAAAATTGAAATATTTGTTAGTGATTAATAATTGCAATTATTAAACAAATACAATCATACACTGCCAATAATAACAGAGGAAATTACGGAAACCTAAAATGTAAATATACCCAAAAAATTAACCTTACAAGTGCTTGCAAATCACAAGCAAAATTAATTGCATTCTTAAGATGATCATCTCGTGCTGCCGGGATACCTGAGATTACCAGAATACCATCTGATTGCAAACGAATGCAACCACATTTCTGCAATGAATTTGAATATTTAAGTGTTTATTTTTTTCAACTTTTTTACTCCTCTTCATTTCCATCAATATTAATATCTATTTGTTTACTTAAATTTTATTCACTTATTTATTTTACTATTTATTTGTTTATTTCTAACTGAACAGTAATTAATGTAAACAAATCAATTTTGTTGCTGTAATAAAATAACATCCTCTTGCATAATTTGCTTTATGCTTTCGTTTCTTTAATGGGAAAATTTTGCGCTTTTCTAAAGCACTTTTCCCTTTTGCTTCTTTTGCTAAAAAATCATTCATTGAATAAACTGTCACAAAAGAAGCTGTTAATAGCAAATGGTGGCGCAGCGAGATGAAAGAAGAAACCAAAAGTAAATTACAAATGGACATGTGTTGTGTGACATTGACATTACCAAAAATTCCCTCCAAAACATTTTTCATTCCTTTCATCCTTTATTTATTTATTTATTTGTTCGTTTGCTTATTTCTTTGTTTACTATCAATTTATTTGTTATTTTAGTTTATTTCCTTCTATAAATTTTTATCGTAAGAAAATTGCAAAATTTCAAAATCATAAATGTTCGCCAAAAATTTGAATATAAAGTTGAAAATTTTTTAAGCCCTTTTTTTACATTGCAGAAATAAAATCGAGAATTGAAAAAATCAAATCTAACTTGAATTTTAAATAATTTCAAATTTAATGAGTACGTTAAGAGCGTATATTTGAGAACTGCAAAAAAGAATCGATTTTAAGTAATAATTAATAAATAATTCAAAAAATAATAAATAAATTAATAATAAATAATAAATAATGAATAAATAATAAATAAATAATAAATAATAGTAAATAATAATAAAAATAAATAAATAATAAATTTCATTTAAATTTCAAATTAAATTTCTGCAAAAAAAGAAATCAAATGGTAATTAAAATACGATTAATATTTCCTTTTATTAATAGATGTGATAAGGCAAAATGAACTTTTAGCAGAAAGAAACCAATCAATCAATCAATCAATCAATTAAACAAATTAAGAAAAGAATGGTTCATTTTTATTTCTTACATACTTCAAAAGCACATCTTAGAGAGAAACAGTTAAAATTAAATTTATAACTTTTAATTTAAAAAAAGTTTATTCGATTTTTATAATATAAAATAATTAGTTAAACAGCTGGTCCCTAAAAGTTTATATTTTCTTTTTCCTATTTCCTTTCAATAGTAAGAAAAAAATTCAAAATTTTTTTTCTGGTTGATTAGTACTCATTAGCTACTTCCTGAAACATCACTCATTAGCTACTTCCTAAAATCATTCCGAATCATTCTTCCTTTCTTCCTTCCGAAACAAATCATAACAGTTGTTTGCATTTCGTAAAATTTCACATCCTTTTCATTTTCCATCTTACCTTCCATCTCTTCCAACTGTTATTGTTGATTTAAAGAATATGTCAAACTATTGAGTTTACATAATAATCCATTTTTAATAATCTGGTTAGTAATTTAAAACAATTCATTTAATAATTTACAATAATCTATTTAATAATTTAAATAATCTGTTTAATAATTTTGAACAATATTATTTAATAATTTAAAATAATTCATTTAATAATTTAAAATAATCTATTTGATAATTTAAAGCAATGTTATTTGATAATTTGAAACAATGCTATTTAATAATTTGAAACAATCTGTTTAATAATTTAAAACAATCTATTTAATAGTTTAAAACGACCTATTTAATAATTTGAAATAATTTGTTTAATAATTTAAAGTAATTTATTTATTAATAATCTATTTTCATTTTTTTTTTCAACATAGAAAATTAAAATCAATTAGACTATTCGTTATCTTTTTTCTTTTCAATCTTTTCTTTTTCATTCTTCAACTCTTTTCTGATCTATTTCGTCTCTCTTTTTGCATACAATTGCTAAAATCAAATCAGAGAAAAAGATATCAGTTTACGTAGGCTATTTTTATTTCTTTCTCAAAGTTTAAAATATTTTCAAGGTTTATAGTAATCGATAAAGAAAATAAGATGAATTGTAATTTAATAAAATGCAATTTGAATTTAATAAAATAAATTTAATTCGTGCAAAATTCGAATAATTAGCCATTTCTTTTCTTTTCAAAAATCATTTTAATAAACCTAGTTTAGTATTTGAAAAAATTAATTGGTTTATTTATTCATTAATTATTCAAAAATATTACTTAATTTATTCATATAAAATCTCTATATTTATTTATAATTATTAATTTTCATTGTTTTTATCGACAATATTAAAATTCGATTAGTATATTTTTTTGGTAAAATAAAAATAATAAATTGTAATTTATTAAAAAATTTATATACTTAATATTAATTAATTATTTTCCATCAAGAGTACGACAAAACAAAAAAAATTGAAAAGTAATTTTTTTACTTTGATAATTTGATCAATTCGAGAGTTGAATTCATTCAACAATTGTGCCGAATCTTGCGCACTACAACACGACAAAATATCTTCCAAACCAACCAGCCGACAATATACAACACTGTAAATTTATTAATACATTTTTCTAGCTTTAAAATATTCAACCTAATATACCAAATTTTTTGCATCGAATTACACATCAGCTATCATTTACTGATTTTGTCGGATACTAAGATAATGTGTATTTATTATCATTGATATCAAATGAAATTGATTATATCAATTATTTGAAATTAATGCAGAATTGTTTTTACACTTGATAGAAGAAAGAAAAGTATAATATGTATTTTAAGTATAATATATATTTTTAAGTATAATATATATTTTAAGTATAATTTATAATATAGTATATAGTATAATATATATTTTAATATTCTTAAAAAGAAGAAAAAACCAGAAAAATTCAAAAATTTTGGCTTATTTGAAGAAGAATCATTGATCAGAACACATACGTACGTACGTGCTATGTGCTTATATGATAATAATAATTATAGAAAGTTTGAAATTTCAATTTTTAAAATGAAAGAAGCTCAAAAAAAAAAAGAGTTGAAAAACGATAACAAAAAGAAGTGTAAACCTAGTCTGATTATAATGTTCCGTGTATATCGTTGGCGGAGATTTGGCAAATTGTTGACGTGCTGTATGTACTAAATGTGTTGGTACTGCAGTTTGCAACAAATCCGTCTGCAAACATAATATTGCAATATGGTTAAGAAATTTCTAATTTTTATTTTGTTTCATTTACTCATCTATTTCCATTAATTATATCAACTACATACACGTTTACTTTACAGTATTCACGCGCTTATCAGAAATTGTGTTTGATATATCCATGTAAACATAAATATAAATATATTTTTACAACGTCTTCAAGATTTTGTCAATATATATATACCATTATTTTATAATAATGCCACTTATGTCGTAATAACAATAAGTTATTGGAAATACTGACATCTGATTGATTGAAAATATTCTCTTGGGAAGACCGGGAAAGATGAAGTGAAAATTTATATAGCTAGAAAGTGAGCAGTTACGAGTATTCAAATCAATCAAACTTAAATATTATCAAAATGATTCATATAATGAAATGGATTTATTGATCATAATTATTATATATTGAGAGAGAGAGAGAGAGAGAGAGAGCGGCGTGAAACCTATGAAGTAGACGAAATAAGCATTCGAATTTCACAGTAACTTAACCTTTGACCATATTTATTATTGGCTAATCCTAATTTAACTAACTGTTCATTAACAGTTTTTTTCTACTTTTAAAGTTATCGAATTTCAGAGTAACTTAACCGCTGACCATATTTATTATTGGCTAATCCTAATTTAACTAACTGTTCATTATTCCGCTTTTAAAGTTATCGAATTTCAGAGTAACTTAACCTTTGACCATATTCATTATTAGCTAATCCTAATTTAACTAACTGTTCATTAATAGTTTTTTTCCTACTTTTCAAATTATATTTCATCATTGCTTTTTCTTCTTTCCTACTATGCTGTGGTAAAACATAAATTGATTAATATAAATGATGTTCATAGAGGAATGAATCATTTCATTTTACTTGTAACTTTTTTGATATAACTTTCAGAAATATCAACATTCTTTTCCACTTTCAAATGATATATATTTGCCATCGAAGATATAAAGCTAATTATATCAGAGAAAAAAAAAAGGATTGAAATTTAAAATTTGAAAAATTCTTAAAATTTCTATTTTACAAATTGCTTTCGAATTTCGATGAATTGTTTTTTTAACAAAGGATGACTAATGATAGTTGTTTATATGAATGTAATAAATCCTCGGCATTTCTTTTCTAACTCAAATTTCAAATTTCAATAAATTTGTTAATTTTGGAATTTTCTTTTTGCTTGCAAAACTAAGCCTGTTGAAGATTTTCAAAAGATTTCGAGTGGAAAAAAATTTCTGCAACTTTTCAACTTCTTTTTTTTCAATAAAGGAACGAAGTAAATAATGTATTCTTTCATGAAGAGAATGAAAGAAATATTAAATTCAGGAAATTTTTTCAGTTATTAAATTTAATTATCTCATTTGAAAGATGAATGATACAAGATGATTATCGAACCGATAATGATGATACATATCAAAGATGATTATCGATCTAATAAGGATGATACAAGATAATTATAATCAAATGTATGTACATATATCTATATGTATGTAGAATGGTATGTAGAATGTACAAGATAATTATCGATCTGATAACGATGATACACATCAAAGATGATTATCGATAAGGATGATACAAGATAATTATATTCAAATATATGTATATATATTATATGTATGTAGAATGTACAAGACAATTATCGATCTGATAATGATGATACATATTCAAGATAATTATCATAGTCAAATATATGTCTATATATATCTATATGTATGTAGAATGTACAAGATAATTATCGATCTGATAATGATGATACATATTCAAGATGATTATCGATGTGATAACGATGATACAAGATAATTACAGTCAAATATACATCTATATGTATGTGTATAAACAAAATTTTGTTTTCTTTAACAGACAAAAATAACAACTTTGGTATTATATTAGCTAAATCATTAAAAATTAATTAATTTCTAAGTATATAAAATGTATTTAAAATATTTCAAATTATTTCCTATAATTTCCAGAAAAAAAGGAAAATTTTTAAAAGGCTAATTGATTAAACAAATTTCTCCTAATATAAATTTCAATTAAAAAATTCGAAGATAAATTAAATTATGCAAAAATTGAAACAGAAAGGTAAAATATAAAATCTGATAAAACGATCGAGCAATTTTATTATGCCCCAAAATAGTGATTATAAAGATGAAGGAAGCAAAACTTACAAGTCTAGCATTTTCTTGAATAGCATGTTCTTCTGCAGTAAATGCATTTCTGGCACGCAGAAATGCAGCACGACAAATTTGTTCCCGTGTTGAATATGAATAAAACCCGATGAAATGTACCCAAGCATGAAAGATTGTTACCGCCAAGAACTGAAATTATGTTTTTATAATATTTTCCTAAAGATATTTAAAGGTGTCTTCAAGCAATTAAACAATTAAAGGTCAATTTAACAAGAAAAAAAATTAAACTAAAAAATATATTTAATCATTGAAAGCCATTTATTTTATTGGTTTCAAGTTTAATTTTTTAATTATATTAAGTTCATTTCAACTAAGCATTCTTTGACTACTTTTATTCTTCATTTGCTTAGTCAAGACATATATTACTTATTAAATCATTTATCATTTAATTATGCATAGTGTCAATTGCTGCAATCATTTTATCTATATCGCACAATTTTTCCACATTTCACATGTTATCATCAATTTTTGCCTTATAATGAAATATGATTGGATGACAAAGTGATATACTTTAAATATTCTAGTTTTGCTACAAACCAAGCAAACTTTTATTAGTGTAATGGTGATTGTAATATTACAAATGATAGCTACGTATTAGACCAGAATGGCAAGATCGTTAATTTTACCTCATTTCACATTTATCATCAATCCTTGCCGATATAATGAATGAAATATGAATTGATGACAAAGTGACATACTTCAAATATTCTAGTTTTGCTACAAACCAAGCAATCTTTTATTAGCAAAATGGTCATTGTAATATTCTTATAGCTATATATTTGATAGATTAAAATGGCAAAAATATGCAAACATATATCATTTGTTTCTCAATAATTAAAAATTATTTCCTTATGATTCACTCAAAAAAATCCAACTGAAATCATTGTTGATAATTTATACTGATATATCATTTATCACACATACCATTTATTATTTTATTATAGATTTTGCGTGAAATAAAATTTGAAGACATATAATATAAAATAAAACAAAAAAGGAAAAACAGCGATTTTTTATCTTATCAATATTTTTCATTTCGTTCAATGACTTGTTTATATATTTATCTATTTATTAAATTTGACTAAATTTCCACTAGGAAAAATTTAATAAAAAGAATCTGCTTTTTAAACAATAAATTTAATTTGATTTCATAGAATGAATTATAAGTTTTTGTATTGCGCAGAAATTATATCAATTAATCGGACAGAAAGAGATAATGGGAAAGAAGTAAGGGAGAAAGAATGGATGAAGAAAATTGTTGAAAAAAAAGTTCAAGGGGAAATTCTGAAATGAATGTAGTATTTTCAGCATTCGGACGAAAAAAAGCGGTAATTCATTTCTTAAAATTATATCCTTTAATTGTTATTCCTCAAATCGTTAAATTTTGATCGATTAATTTGATAAAAATCAATCAATAAATAAATAATACATTTTTTAAGAAGTGATAAAAAAATTTTATAATTTTTCATTTCAAGTAATATATTCCATTTAAGATATCAATAAAGAATGAACGAATAAAATTTTCAACGATCATTAAAGAATTGGTTAAGGTTAAAATGGAATGGTTTCCTAAAATATATATATATCACAATATATAAATTAAATCAATTAAATTAATCCATTATATTTCATTAGATATTTTTTAATATTTAATTTTTCTATTTGTTAATTTAATCGAATTACTAATTTAATTTAATTTTAATTCTCCATTCGCTAATTTAATCGAAAACTAATTTAGTCTAAATTATTCGAAATTGAAATTTAGCATTAAATGCATAGTAAAAATACAGAATATGCTAAAATGATAGTAATCAATTTAAAAATCGAAAAATTATTAAAGCAATATGCTAATCAATAATAAATTCGATTAAATTAGCATATAGGAAAAATGCAAAAATTAAATATAATTGAATAGAAAATAGATTAGCCAAATAGAAAAGAGAAGGATTAAGTGAACTAATTATTGACAGATTATTAAGAATTATCATAGAAAGTTAATAAGTCAAGATTATATTCATAATTGTTAATATTTATAATTGTTATCATATCATGAAATTCATCATTATTATCATGTCATAATATTCATAATTGTTATCAATATTCATAATCGTTTCTCCAATTTTGTTATTCATAATTGTAATTCATAATCGTTAGTTATCATTATCACTAATATTATCGTTATTTTACTCATATCGTTTTATTTGCTATTGCAAGTTTTTCTTCTTGATAAATCAGAATTTGTTAATTAATTGTTGTACTGAATAAATATTGATGAGAATTTCATACCATAACAGAATTTTGATCATTTGAATTTTGACCATTTACGACTAATTTAAAATTCAAATATTCAAATTCTTAAATACTTTATCATAACATACAAAAAATTCTTCCTAAAAAAAAATACACTATCAACTAATGACGAAAAGTATAAGTTAAAAATAATTAATTAAAAATTATAAAACTTTTAAATAAATTAATTAATAACGAATTTTTCAATTTTTAACATTCCCTCCCTAAAAATCGTTGTTACGTAAATTTATGAAAAAAACTTCTCAAATTTTAGTGAAAAATTTAAAATCCATTTCATCAAAAATAATATCAGAAAATTATGAATGAATGATTACGAATATCACTATCATTTATTATCATCATTTATTAGCTGTTAGAATCATTTACAAATTAAGAATTCTTTGATTTTACGAATATCGCTATCATTTATTACTGGTTAGAATTATTTCTAAGATTAACATGTTATCATTTATTATCATTTATTAACTGCTAGAATTATTTCTAAAATTAACACGTTATCATTTATTATCATTTATTAACTGTTAGAATTATTTCTAAAATTAACACCCTTTGATTTATACCGACATTATTGTTCAAAAATTTTTTTGAAATTCTTTCGAATGTCTTTCTTTCAATTTTAATCAAAGAGAAGAAAGAAAGGTGAAGAAAAGAAAAGTTCATTAGAATAGGTACCATTTCGAAAAGGTTTTCGTTCTTCCTTTTATTACCACCTATTATTACACTTTTATCCATTCATTTCTACAATGAAAATGTCTATGAATTTTTTTTTAAAACAAAAAATTTAAAAAAGAATTTAAAAAATTAAAATATAAAATTCATCCCATTCTTTAGATATAGTTTTGTTATTTATAGGATATATACGGCAAATTTTTTCGTCTTTCATTTCCGTTTCAAACTTCACTTTACGTTTCCGTCTTTTCGGTTTTTTCCCATTTCCTTTTTCTCTTTTTTTTGTTATTAATATTTCCGGTTAATAATTATGTGAAAATGAGAAAAGAAAATTTTTTCCGTTTTCCCATTTTTCTTTTTTCCTTTTTAGCGTTCTATAAAGTTTATAGAATAATGTGTGGGAAATTTATAAAATAGAGCAAAATGAAATATTTACGATGTGGAATTAATATAGGATTGGGTGTAAAGAGCAAGATGAAAATGGATTAATGAGCGAGAGAGTGAAGTGTAAAATGGAATAAGAATGGATTAATATAGGTGGAAGAGTGAGCCTAAAAGCGAGGGATTTGAATGAAAGAATGGATAAGGAAAAAAAAGAGAATAAATTTAAGAATTAATAAATTAGTGAATTCTTTTTTAATTCATATTTTATTCATTCTTTCGTTTGCTTTTTCAAGAAGAAGAACGAAATTTATTTCAATTTCAATTTCATTGAATTCTTTTGAGAAAAAAAAATCCATTTCATTTTAATTTCATTTCATTCTTTCAACAAAATAATCCATTTCATTTCATTCTTTCAACAAAATAATCCATTTCATTTCAATTTCATTTCATTCATTTCAATAAGAAAAAATTCATTTCATTTCATTCTTTCAACAAAATAATNCAAAATAATCCATTTCATTTCATTCTTTCAACAAAATAATCCATTTCATTTCAATTTCATTTCATTCATTTCAATAAGAAAAAATTCATTTCATTTCATTCTTTCAACAAAATAATCCATTTCATTTCATTCTTTCAACAAAATAATCCATTTCATTTCAATTTCATTTCATTCATTTCAATAAGAAAAAATTCATTTCATTTCATTCTTTCAACAAAATAATCCATTTCATTTCATTCTTTCAACAAAATAATCCATTTCATTTCATTCTTTCAACAAAATAATCCATTTCATTTCAATTTCATTTCATTCATTTCAATAAGAAAAAATTCATTTCATTTAAATTACATTTAATTCGTTTTACAAAAAAAAAAAAAAAACAATCCATTTCATTTCATTCTTTGAACAGAAAAAATCCATTCCATTTCAATTTCATTTAATTTTTTCAACAAACAAAAATCCCATTTCATTTAGTTATACGGAAGTTTTGCCGGTTTTTTTTTGCACCGTTCGTTACTGTTTTAGAAACCGGAAATACAAATTTTTCTCCCTTTTTTTTCCCTCATTTTCATTAATTTGCATTTTATTCATTCGTTTGGAAATTTTGAAAAGGTAAAAAAGGAAAGTAAAAGAAAACTTTTCCATAATTTGAATTCACAAATTTACATTTTTCATAGTGTAGAAGAATATAAAATGAAGAGATCGGAATTAAATAAACGAAATTAAAAACAAATAAAAATATAAATTTCAAATTTAATTTCGGTATAAAAAAAAATATAAAAAGAAATATATGCAATAGGTAGTATTTCCCCGAAGAGATATTTTAGTAACAATTTATTGCAACTAATTTACCACTTATTCAATTTAATTTTGGAAAGTCTATTAGGAATTATTTGATAAGAATTCATAATAAATTTAATATTTGATTTAATAATCGAAAAATCATTTTTTTTCATATTACATCATTGTAAAAATAAGCCAAACCAAAATGATTGATATTTGTTATAGAATATTGAAATTTTATCAATTTTAAAATTTCATACTACATTTCCCCCCTCCCTCCCTCCTTCCGATTGCAATAGAAACATTACAAAATAGCCTAAATGAAATGACTTGCAATAACAGAGTTGCAAACTGCTCTTGCAAAATTAAATTGATAAAAAGATCAAATGTTCAGGCAAACAACGATAATGAATTGATTTAAAATACCATTAATTCATTATCATTTTATGATTAATGATAATGAACTTTTCTTCTCATTCAGTTAGTAATTAATAATTAATTAATTTTTAGCATAGAAAAAAACAGCTGATATAAAATGAATTATGTAAAAAGAAAAGGAATTGAAAATAAATGATATAAATGCTAATTGATTTTTCGATCTTAAATTATCAAATTAATAATATCAATTCAAATAAATCAAGTGGATGATATTAGTGGTATTGTTCGAATTTAATTAAATTAATATTAATTCAAATAAATGAAATAAATGGTATTAATGGTATTTTTCGGATTTAATTAATTAAATTAATATCAATTCAAATAAATCAAATAAGTGATATTAATGATATTATTCGAATTTAATCAATTAAATTAATACTAATTCAATTAAACCATTTAAATGATATTAATGGTATTTTTCGAATTTAAATAATTAAATTAATATTAATCCAAATAAATAAAATAAATGATATTAGTGGTATTTTTCGAATTGAAGTTATTAAATTAATATTAATCCGAACAAATGAAATAAATGATATTACTCGAACTTAATTTATTAAATTAATATTAATCCAGGTAAATGATATTAGTGATATTATTCGAAATGAAATAATTAAATTAATAACAATCAAACAATAAAATGTTCCTTTTTGATTGATATTCGAAATG